CGGCTGTCTTTATGATGTGAATTTTCTTCTGCTGAGGATCATCGTCCTTGGGCTGCTTGTAAAATTCCGCAAGGATGTAACCTGCAGTTTCCTTCAATGTGACAACGTCTGGAGTCCAGTTGAGTTTCTCGGTAATGACAATGCCGTCACCAAAATGCTCCAGTAATTTCTGTTTCATGTATCTGGGAGAGTAGGCTGCGTCTTCTGGTGACAACTTTCTGTACATGAGGTTAACAAGATCTGGGACAGTCACCTGCTCTATCTTCATTCTCCAGATAATCAACAACTGCTAGGAAAACTTCCAAACAGCGTTCATTACGGGGTCACCCAGGCCCAGAGCACATGTTTTTTGCAGCAGGCTCACCACTCGCATAAATAGCAGGTACTCCTTTCCTTTCTCTGAAATGCGTGTAACAGACGTTGTGGTAGACAGCATCACGAGCAGAAAGATCCTGCATGTACTCTATCTTGCCTGTTACCTCTCTTGACCATCTGTCTGTTTCACCCCTCTTTTTGCAAAACGAAGAACAGAGTCCTGGAATTGCGTTGACTGTACATAAATCAGAGGATGACCGCTTCTGCCTTTCTTTCCTCTTTTCGCCTTTTGACCGCAAAACAAACACAAAGGGATTTTCCAGGTTCTCAGACTTGTTCTGGTGCACGACGTTTCCGAGGTGACTCTGCAAGTTTTGGATCCTTTGATGGAAAATAATCTCTGTTAGCGTGGCAATCTCTACAGGTCTTATGGACATTGTCACCTGACTTTGCAAACACAGCTTCTCCAAATTGTGCACTGATGCTGTTGATGGTTTTGCACCCCTTTTCTGTAAGCGTAACTGGCTTGGCATCAAACCCCTCTCCACAGAAAATACAGGTCTTTTCTTCTTGTTTCCAAACACAATGTTATGATGGCATTAAAATCGTCAAGTGAAACTCTAATACTAGCTCTACTTCCGCTATGCTATTTTGGTTGGACAGTCACTACCAGTTGCCAATGAAAACAGGGGGGGTGGGGTGTGTGGCAAGCTGAACATGTATAATCTTACCATGCGCACTAAAAGAATGATAAGCCTATTCTAATAGGCCTACAGTTATAGCCGTAAGACAAGATAAAAAGTAATGATTGTTGTGCACATGAAGACTTGCGGGAAAGGCACGTTTGTGTTACAATCACTACCAGTTTGCCATACTAAATCGGCTTGACTCTGCGGTCGCCTCGGCTACCATTGTTTTGATGCGCGCAGAAATGCAGAAGTTCGCGGGCAAGTACAGGATCAGTGTATGGCAGGCGAAAGTTGCCACTAATAATAATGGAATGTGAAAAACGAATTTCACAACTTTTTTATTTTTATTTTTTTGAAAAAATGCGCCTTTCAATTCTCCTTGATTCTTCATGATATTTTATTGACTGGTATCATCTACTTATTTTCCGAAAGACAGCTTTAAAGCAATTTCTTCAAGGTCAAACCAAAATGTTACTAGACTATTGTGAACTACGTACAAACGAATTAAAGTTTATTCACAAGTGCATTACATGTACGCCTGTCTGCACTAATTATAAAACAACATTAGTATAACTGGACTACTTTAGCACGCAGGTGTCGTGTAACTATTATAGTGCGGCCAAAAATTTGTGGTGCAACTTATCCTCAAATATCTCTTTAACGGGAGAATCAATGTCACCCATACTTTGCACAGCAGTTTGTATCAATTTGTCTTAACTTAATAATATTTTTCCACAACAATTGAGGATCGATCAAAAATGTTTCCTTCATAAATTTATATATATAAAATACTAAATCTAGATCTAGGCCTATAAATCTCCATCACGCAGATTATATGATTGTTCATAGCACTTCCCGCTTCTCGCACACATTTTGCATACACATAATATGGCCTACGTCATAGATCTAGCTCGCCAATGACACTTTTTAGTGGCAAAACTTCATATAAAATTATTTTTATAATGAACACATTTTTTCCCACTAGATCTAGATAAATGTTCTCTAAACATACATTCAATAAGCATGCTTTTGCGATTGGAAAAAAACCCGACGGACTTGCTTTTAAAAGCGATATTGCCGGAGCTGTAAAGTTTTTTAAATTTGTAGAAACCTTCGACTGGGATCTTTTATTAGACCTAGTATTTATTAAGGAATTTTTTAGAATACAATGTGCAGGAGTTTAAAGTAATATTCACCTGTTAAGACAAATTGATATAAGTCATTGTGCAAAAGTTGAAGATCTATGTTCGATAGGTTAGGAGATATTTCATAATAAGTTTCGCCATGCATTTTTGACCGTACTATAGGCGTAAGTTGAATTTAATTTGTACTCTTAACTCTTATTCCACACAAGGCGTTACCTGATTAATGTTCTCTTCTCAATCTAACAGCATTATTATACCCTGTCGACCCCATCGTTCGCCCCAACATTCCCTTCGCCAGCTAACTCTCTCTCTCTCTCTCTCTCTCTCTCTCTCT